CTAAAAGTGGGCTGTTCTGTGTAAGGTCAGCCACTGTTGTATGAAAAATAAATGAACTGTGAAACAATGCTTAAAAAACACATAATGATTGTCATTTAAAATTCTCCAGCAGAGAACAGTTGGTGTGAAAGTGTTTCAGAGGTTTTTTATGATGCTGCCAAGCTCACCTAATCTGTCTTAATTTCTCCAATTTATAACAAAATTACCTTCTTATCTTTTTAAAATGTAACCAGAGTGGATCTTTGTAAAATTAGCCCATATAATTTATACCATTAATTTACACAGTTTACCTAGTTTTCCTGATGCTGTTCTAAATGTATTCAACCTTGAAATGAGAAATGGGTCTGGATCTGTATTCCTGTACTTCTACAATTATCATCTAATTTTGCTGGAGTAAATGGAGAATAGCATCATTTGTATGGCTGTTGCTGTACTGGTGAAAAATTGGCATGAGTGAGATAAAAGATGTATGGGTCTGAATTTTTATGAGGTTTGAAATCCGAAGGTAAACTTTTCTCAAGTTCGCGTACTTTGATTGAACTCAGTGTAGGTTTTTGGCTTGAACCTCAACTTGGGTTTGAAACTGTGCCTGTTCTTTGCTGGGTAAATGGGATGAGTTGACTGTAGTGGGCCTGATACAATATAGCTGGTAACACATTCATATTTTAGAAAAATCTGGCAAGCTTGTCTTGAATTTGTATTTGTTGAGGCTCAGGACTTTCCAGAAGGGAGAAGCAATGATGAGACAGAAGATGCTACCAGAGTTATGACCTGATGAAAAATCAAAGCAAGAATAGTGTAAGGGAGGGCTTACCTTTGAACGGGTAGCAGATGCAAAGGCTCAACACAGGCTGGTCTGTGGCTTGGCATGCGGGGTGAGAGAGAGAGAAGTTTACAGATAACTAGAAAAATACAGTAAATATGTCCCAAAGGGAAACCAAGCAAAGCAACTTCTTTGTGTATTGTGGAAATGATGTTGAAGGCACCTGCCTTCTCCTGTCTTGGTCTTCTGTAGTGCTGTTGCTTGTGAAAGGAAAGCAGGGCCATCTCTGGGGCAATCATGCCCAGAGACTTACTTATGTAAAACCTGGCATTTTTTGGTCAATATATCTTCTTAATAAAAATAACCCCAGAAGGTCTTGAGTGTCAACTCACTGTTTGGACAAAGAGGCAACAGTTTTTAAATACAGAACTTTTGTAGGTGTCTGTTATGTTTCCTAGGGAGAACAGACCCAACCCCAACATCTCAAAATGTTTCTTTTTTATGGAGGGGTTGAAGAAAGGAAGAGGTGTTTACTTTCAGGTTGCTGATGTTTTCTATCTCATTTTCTCTCTTCTGGGTCCTTGCACATAATTATGATTCAATTCTGCTCCCTTTGGGATTCATGGCAGCATTCCCACTGACAGCAGTGGGATGGAGGCATTTTTGGCTCAGAGCATTTTAATTCTGATGTCCTGGCAAAATTCCAATACACATAATTATGCTCTGGCAAGCTGAATTCTACCTTTACTAATTTTAGTAATTATTTTTGTTTGCACAGCACCTAGAAATTCTAGTCAGTCGTGATGCTAAGAACTGTGTATGTGCCTATTGCTCTGGAATAATTTTGCCTGAAAGATGGACACATGGAAGACGGCATTCATTTTTTGCTCGGTAGATGGAATGGAGTCCTAACTGCTAGTAATCTTTTGCAGAAAGCCATGGAAGCGCATTTTCAGATTGTGTCTGTATTTGCACTATAGAGATACCTATGGTAGCCAGTAGTTTAGTCGTCTGGTATCCATAGACTCAGGAAATTTGCACTGTGGATGTATTTATCAATGCAACGTCCCTTTAAAAAAAAACAACAACAAAACCCCACAACCCTCTGCCAAAAAAACCCCACATCAAAACCAACCCAAAACCAAACGGTGGGAGCAGGGATTATATTTTTGGTGAGTTGTTACATACATTTGTGTTTAGATTTCTAAACAATTAGAGTTTCAGAAAGGAAAATGCTTTTCTGATTTCAGCAATAAAATTGTTTTTTTCTATTTAATGACTAACTGCAAAGTACTGAATAGAGCTGTGGAGAAATTAAAGACTTTGTCAATATGAATTGTCCTTTCTCTCTCCCGTCACAAGAATGTTTCAGGCTGTTAAATAAATTTAAAGTGCAAAATTTGCAATGACAGAGGCTGTTATGAATTGCTATGTTATTAGCAACCAGGCAACAGCCATAGTAACTACCATTCTGTAGTGGTTTTTCTTGAATCTAAACAAGAGATTTTTCTTTTAAACTTGTACATACACAAACACTGGGATTAGCATAATGTTTTTCTAATTTATTTTTTTCAAGGCAAATACTCTATAGGTCATGTTTGTATATCACAAGGATGCTTAATAGGCTTGGAAGGCTTAAGACAGGCCACTGAATTCCCTCGAGATGGGCAGAAGCCAGCCTGCCCTCCTGAAGTCTGGGTGACTACCTGGGAAGTGTCTTGGCATTTCTGGCCTTACCTTAACCATACTTCCAGGGAGTGTGATTTGTAGGATGTGTTGTGCTAGAACCCTCAGATAAAGTAGTAATCTTTGTAGTAGTATATTCTGTTATGCAAATCAAGCTGAATTAAGCTGAAAAAAACTGGGATTATAAAAAATCATGGATTTGAATCATTACTAGATGATATGGCCTTTTCAATGTAGCTTGTAATATTTATACCATATTTAGGTAAAAAAAAAAAGTTTTTCTATATGTACATAAAAACCTATTCTTTTTGTAAATATAATGTTAGAAATGTACATGTCATTGAGCTGGTAGCACCTGTTCTTATGACCTGAATGTCATGGGAGACTTATAATGATACCAGTGTTGCTATGCTGCAAAGGAGTGTTTCACTGCTGGAGATGTTGCTGTCTTGTGTCACAGGGACACTACCAGAGTAGAAAAAATACCCCAGGCTAAAGTTTTGCTGGTTAGGAATGCAGGCATATGATAGTAAAAACTGTATGAGGCATTTTTGATTTTTACCTGTATAAATATGCTATAAATTCTCTCTCTGCTACTAGGTTTAAGCTTCATAAAACTTACATTGGTATGCCCGAATATGTATCTTTTATGCGGTTCAAGTAAGCTGTGTTTAACCCTGTCAGAGCTTTGAAGGAAGCAACAACCACTTCTTTGTTAGCTGAGACTTCTGTGGCTTCTCTTCTTACGGCAGATATATATGTGACATGCCCCATATTTTGTCATGCCCCTATCCTTGACTAAAGAATGGGTGTATAGTATGCGTTGAAACCTCAGCTAATAAAGTAATCCAGAATTTTCAGCTTCACTTCTTAAAAAATATTTTAGAAAGTTCTAGAAGTGACTTTTATCAATATACTTTCAAAGAACTCCAGTAATTCAAGTAATATCATGCACAGTTTAAATAAAAAAGAAAAGCATTTTTATTCATATTCTCATGACTGAAATAATTGGAGTTACATCTTTTTACAGAAACTGAAGATCTGTTTGTCTGATAATTCAATTCATATGTCTATGCATGTGTGAGTCTTTATGTGCGTTAGAGAAAGAGATACCTATAATAATGAAGTTGTCCGTATCATAGCATATATGCACACATTTCTGACAGCTACTTAATCCTTGGAAATGTTGAAAGCTGAGCGCTGATGACGTATTTATGATACGGTATACAGTGTTTACTAGGCCAAACATTATTTTATTGAATGCCAGGTATGTTCTGGGTTCAGTTCAGAGTTATATGCCTGTGGTCACAACAAATGTATGGTCCTTTTGATCTGTTATCAGCATATTATTAAGCTGAACTGTTTTCTGATTGTATAGGCAGTGATTATCTGTCTGAATATAAAGTATGAATGGAAAGCATGAGTTGTACTTGTTATATCTGTGTTTCTTACTACTTCACCCTACTTTTTTTTAATTTAAGGTTGCCTTTGCCTCCCGGAGCATTCTCAGGTCTTTGGGAAAATCAGGAAACATTCCAGAAGTTATATTTCCAGAAATTTCCAGTAAGAATTATGATATGACTTAGATAAACTTCTGGTAATCCTGCGGAACTGACTGATAGTAGATTTATAGTGGATAGCACACGAAATTATCATGTCTTATTTTAATGGGAGATCTTTGATGTATGTGTTATACAATTAAAAAGATTTCAAGGTAGAACTTTCTTCATCCATACTTTAAGCTTTTGGGCTCACTGTGTTTTTTTTTTAAGTTCTGATACAGACGCAGTAAACCTCAAGCTCCTGAACCTGAAATTTGGTTTATGTCATTTGACCTAATAAAAGATAGAAGCCTCACAACCTTAGGCTAGCATAGCTTCTAATATACTCCTGCTGTTGACGTGCAGTCATTCTAACTTAGTGTCAGTCCAAAATACACACTTGCCTAGATAAATTGGTGCTACGTGAATGTCCAAAATGGAAGGTTTGCTTCAATGAATGTAAATTAATTAATTGATCAGGCAAGTAATTTTTTGCGTGCACTTGCATAATGATGATGATGTATGTTTGGGTCCAGCAAACAGGAATATCTTTAGGAGCAATTTGACAACTGTCATTATACTGTAACAATTCCATTCTCCTTGTAGAGATTCAGGTAACATCATTCTCCAAGCTGTCAGGGATCAAAGCAAGCAGAGTTGGAAAAAATCCAGGTTTATGTATTGTCTTCTGTTCTGTCTTAGTAAAGACAACAAAACCTTACTGGAAAGGGAGCTGCACTGTATATTATGACATAAGAATGGTGAAAAATATTACAGAATTAAAACTTTCAGGCACCAAAAATGTATTTCATTTGAAACAATGTTTTGTTTATTGGTTTCATGGGAAATTGGTATGTTCCTAGTACTATTTCTGAGTTTATTTTTGGTTGTGTTGTGTTTAGGGATATTATGATACTATGGATGCAGGTTATATGGATGAAGATGGCTATTTATACGTCATGTCTCGAGCTGATGATGTGATCAACGTTGCTGGACACAGAATTTACATGAGCAATTGAAGAGGTTAGCATTGCCTGACAGTAAAGTAGAAAAGTGAAAGAGGAATAAAGCAAGCTGAGACTGAAAATCTCACGAAATCTCTCATTTTCTTTCTGCTTTTTTTAATTGAATTTCCATTGGTACTTTGAACAAAAACATTAATTGTTTTAAGTCCTTCCTATTAAGCTGCTTTCCAGGACCATAACAAATTTAGTCAACAATAAGCAGTTTGTACTATGCGATTGATAAGACAGGGATGATTTGACATTTGAAGGTGGAATTAAGGGGCAATATGGTGTCATGGGAAGCATTCTTGAAAGCTCTAATAACATATTTATTTGGGAATACATTAAGATAATGTAGGGTCAGTGTATCAAGTAGTTTCACCAACTGCTGTAGTTATTTAGGAGTAGAAACACTTATTCCTAAAATACAGTTTTTAGTTGTGTTTTTTTTTTTTAAAGTGCTTGCTGTTGGCTGAATTCTTTTCACATAGACTCACATTCAGTGCTTTTTCTTGATTTGAAGAGTTTCCTTCGCGGTTTCTTTACAACTGTTTCGTCTCTTATTGTATGAGCAGTGCCAAATGAACAATGAAAATTTTTATAAAAAACCCCTGCTGTTAAAAGGAAGTCATTAATATAATACGCTTGCAACTCAAAAAGTCGAAAATAGTGCAGTTCATAATAGTATCTGAATTTCATATTGTTGTTCACTCACTTCTCTGGAATGGCTGTGATTGATTGCCAGTTACAAGTTTCCCTGATGACATTGTCAGCAGGAGCAGGGAGGTGATCATGCCCCCGTACTCGGCTTTGGTGAGGCTGCCCCTCGAGTACTGTGTCCAGTTTTGGGCGCCTCTCTACAAGAAGGACACTGAGGTGCTGGAGAGGGTACAGAGGGCGGCTACCAAGCTAGTAAAGGATTTGGAGCATGTCTCGTATGAGGAGCGGCTGAGGGATCTGGGGCTGTTCAGCCTGGAGAAGAGAAGTCTGAGGGGAGACCTTATCGCTCTCTACAACTACCTGAGAGGAGGCTGTAGCGACCTGAGGACTGGTCTATTCTCCCTAGTAACAAGCAATAGAACAAGGGGAAATGGCCTTAAGCTGCACCAGGGGAGGTTCAGGCTGGGTATTAGGAAGAATTTCTTTACTGAAAGGGTTGTCAGGCATTGGAACAGCCTGCCCAGGGAGGTGGTGGAGTCACCATCCTTGGAGGTGTTTAAGAGATGGGTAGATGTACTTAGGGACATGGTTTAGTTGTGTTGGTAGAGCTATGACAAAGGTTGGATTTGATGATTTTAGAGGTCTTTTCCAACCGAAACTCTTCTAATCTATGTTTCATATCAATTGATAATTCAGGGAGTATAGGAAATGGTGTGCTAGGCGTGTACAAGGGAAAAATATACTTTTAAGAACTCTGAATTTAACTGTTCCCTGAATCACAAACTAATCTGTTAGCAATTTTTTTGCTTTGTAATATCTGTTGGTCTAGTGACTATTTTTTTAAAGGCTAGACAACTTAGAAAAGAACTAATCCTGATTACACAGAAGTGAACAAATTCAGATAAACATAGGCCGTCCTTAGAGGGTCCATCAGCCAGAGAGGTGAACCAGCCAATGCCCTGACTCAGATCTATGGAGACGTAAAAATGG